TCCGGGTAGGCGAGGCACTTGGGTAGGTAAGTAATTTGTACTAATTACTTGCTAAAGCCTATAATATGGAGATTTTACATTTATTTCCTTTGAGAAAAATGATGTGAGGTTCCGGCTGTCTGTCGGAACTGAATGTCTATTTATTTCAATTACCCATTTATTTATCTACTTGCACATTCATATATTCATTTATTTTTAAGTCATTTTAAATTATTCCTACTGGGCCTTTCACTCACGTTTTATGTTTTAAATGTATTAAACCCCTAAGGAATTGAGAATTCTGTAAACTCATGTAATATTTGGATTTACTATACTGTGGTTGATGTCTGTTGTAATTGATTATTTACATGTTCATGTATGTACAATGCCATATATCCTGTGGGTGGAGCCTTGTGTGTTGTCAGAGGTTCGAGATTCTGTAACTTATTTATATTTTAATGGAGTTAAGTGGGGCTCATCTGGGAATCTGCTTTATTAACCTTTAATCGAGCTCCACGTCACCCACCCCGTTTGGGGGACGTGACACTTCTACATGTTCTTCTCATTACATGCATGACCTAAAGATTTAAAATGACATTCTCAGACTTTCAGTTTGCTTATCATACATTCAACTAATATTAACATAAAGAGGTCAATACATGGATATATGAAATAAATAAGTCTTTATTAATAGTCAAAATGTTTTAAAGAACATCGTTACATTTATTCCTAAGGGCATAAATGCTAACATCTCCAGCATCATTTTTCAATGTCCAGACATGGTTTCGCTTACTCCGATATGGCTAATAAATCTTGTGTTTCAGTTTCCTTCTGCCAACCACGTTTCGCTCAACTTCTGCCTCCATATGCTCTCCCGCCTTTCCTAAATTTTGAATATCTCCATCTGGATGGAGGCTTTGGCTTCTAAATTTTCCTGACTTGGTTGTAGGGATTGGATCTGCTTAAGTTCTCTATTTAGGACTTTCAATCTGTCCTAACAAAACCCGAAGCAGGTTTTGTTCCACCACCTCAAGGCTTTCCAAGTGCTATGGAGTTTACAAACCAACTAAAAACTAAGGGCTCCCTTGATATCCATGTCCCATGCTTCACGAATGACCTCCCTGTAGGATGGGTCCCTAGACCAAGCTTCAAAAAAATGGAAGGGGAACTTCAACACTTCCTTCTCCAATATGGTATCCAACACAATTGGCGCATGATCTGACTCCTATTTTAGAAGATTTTTAACACATGTCTTCAGGAACTTGATAGACCAACAATTGCTACAAATCGCTCTATCCAACCTCTCTTTGATCAATGAATTAATTTCATGACCCTTGCACCATGTATGAAACATCCCCATGCAGCCCAAATCAAATGCTCTTGTCCGAAAACTTTCGCTGATAAGGAATTGGAAGAGATAACAACGGATATTCCCCTAACTGCGCATTCTTCCGTGCAGCTTGCCCTAGTGGAAATGGGCAATCAGTCCCTTGCTTCAGGAAAGCCTATAATGCCAATTGAAATGGTGATAGATCCACGGGATATTGACTTCTAATACTCTCTTCGCCATTTCTTCCCAAAATAAGGACTTGCGCTGAGCATAGGGAGGACCGTAACAAAAGAAAGCTAGCCAAGCATAATTTGAATTATCTCTAAACCTCATTGTGATGACATGTCTATTCACTTCTAGAATCTTCACATTGATTCCCAATTTCCACATGAAGCATAAACCCCCCGCTATCCATTCTGTGGAGATGAAAAAAGCACCAAAAAATCCCAACCTTCTCCTTAGCACATCCATTTGTCGCTTCTAGACCTTGGTTTCCATTGAGAAGATCCCATCTGAGTTATGGGACCGAATTAGGGCTCGAAGAGCCCTCTCTGCTGACGGCCTCGTGAGGCTGTGACAGTTCCAGGAAATCACCCTCATTTGGATGTTGGGAGCTACATATCAGAACTTGCCTCTTTCGTTGGCTGAATCCTCGCTTCCTCTTTTGCAACCCCATTCCCTGCCTTCTTCCTTGGAGTGGCAATGACAAGGAATTCAAAGGAGAGCGTACAAGAGAGCGTACAAGAGGTTCAAAAGTATACACTAAGCTTGAATCTCATAAATCTGTGATGGGAGTTCTTTGGAAACTTCCAGACCTGGAACTCTGATCCATCAATCCCCACCTTCTTTGCAACTCGCGTCACATTGTCCTTCGAGTTGTAAAAGACCAAGAGCCCGTGAGCCTTAGACCCAGAATGTAGTGGTGGAGAAATCTTCATCTTCCAAACACCCAGACTCCGGCCATTTCTTGAGATTTATGTGAGCTCCTTGCACATTGCAAGGTCAATTCTCAAAGATACTTTGACAATCTTCCTCTTTATCAAAGAAAAAGGCCAGAACCCCCTTTCCTATGTCCACAAGCTTCCAACTTTTTTGTTTTCCCCAAATCCCAGAGAGGGCATTACGCAACAGAGAGTTAGGAATAGTCTTTTTAGAGATTACCTTGCCAAGCAGAGCTTTTTTCAAGAAGGAATCACTCAGCTCCAACGACGGAACCAGATCAAGGAACATCTCCTCGTCTCCACCAGGCGGTGCCTGTCTAGTTCCCCTTTGCTCCATGATGTCTGGTGAGACATCAGCTTCTTCACGTAAAGACTCTCTCATTGAGCAACAAGACCGAGCTTGGAAAACCTAAACGAGTTAGGACACCACTCTAGAGCAAGAGAGCAATAGAGAGCGCAGAACATTGATGTTTCCGTGCATGTTGTTGTTCATATTAGTTACTCAATAATTCATTCATTACATTCGTATGATATAATATAATGTAAAATGAAGAAATTGGATCTTCTAATCATTTAGCGAATAGAATAGGAGATTACATTTCTATTTATGAGATTTCTTTTATGAGCTCTTATCGTTTTAAAGATGTGGTCTTTTAAAGTTATCATCATTATTATTGTGCTTGACGAGAGATGTGGTTGCTTGTCATACCTCGCATTTGTACGAGAGTTTGTTGGTTTTAAGTTAGTGTCCTTTTATGTCTTTATTATTACTCATTGAAATCACGCACTACACACGTGTATTAATTAAAAAAATATATTTTATGAGAACCACATTTTTAAAAAGAATATTAAGTAACCTTATATGTGGGAGAAAATTTTTAAACGGAGATAAATAAAAATAATTTTATTTATGAGATAAATAGTAATTAAAAGTACCATCTAGAAAAAAAGGTAAACATGTGATAAGAAAAAAGTCCTTTGAGAAATACATAAAAAATGATTAAACTGCAAAGCAACGTTTAAAATAGAGATATATTTAAAATAAATTATTTTAGTAAATATATTTAAAATAAATTATTTTAGTAAGTGTAGAGTGAGGAAGAAAACTTAAAAAAACACATTGTGAATAAAATTAAATTGTAAAGGAACTTTGAAAAAAAATAAGGAAAAAAAAAAAGAAAATATTTGAAAAGGAAAAGAAAACAAAACAAAAAGGTGATACCATGTGTAAAGTCTTTTGTGATGCCACAAGTCAAAAGGAGAGTAACTTTTTGGTTGTTTTATTTACGTTAAAGATTAAAGATTAATAATAACAATAATAATAATAATAATAATAATAATAATAATAATATTATTATTATTATTATTATTATGATGATGATGATGATGATGATGATGATTATGATTATTATTATTATGATTATTATTATTATTATTATTATTATTTTTTTTTTTAATAACTTGGAGGTTTTTGTCGTTTCTTCAATAACTTGGAAGTTAATGTCCATTTATTGTCGTTTCTTCATCTTTTCTCAACGATGTCATTTTCTTTGTTATTTCCTTTGTTTAACGGTTCATATCTCCCTCGTTGCCCCACGATCTCCGACAGTTAGTAAACCCCTAATCGACCATCATTCTGATTCCAGGCACAGTCAGCAAGTTGAGTTGTTTATACAATGAAAGAGAGACTTGGACAGAAACAACTCCGAACAAGGGGTACTTGGCAGTTTCGTAAAACAAAATTCATAAATTTTTAGATTAATTACAAAAGTTCCTTTTAAATTAGGATGCGTACAACACTCTAATCCTGCTTTTTTAAAAAGTAACACCAGTTCTCTAAAAACTAAAACAAAACATTAAAAGAAAAACCTTGTGCATGATATAATGGTATTTAGGTAATTTTCTTATATGATCTTTAATACAAGTTTCTCAGAATAAAATCTGATATAATTTTTTTTTAAATAAATGTAAAACCTTATTTAATTTTAAAAACAAACTACTATAAAACTTAACACGAAATTAGGAAGCCAAAAGTAGTGTAAAAGGAGAATCCATCCTCTCCCTCTTTCGAAACTGGTGCATAACGTTGGAGGGAGGTGGGGAAGAGCGATCTCACCGGCCAATACCCTGAGTGCCGCTGCTTGCTGCCCTCTGTGAATCTTCACACACGTACCGACAAGGCAGTTCCGACCAAGGAGGGGCAAATTAGGCTCTTTGGGAGGTTACAGAGGGACAAAAGGAAGGTTGGTTTTTTTAGTTGCTCCTCTTGATCTTAGGTTTGTTTAATGTTATGCACTTGGAGCGTGGACCGTGGAGCTCTAACCATTGTTGTTGTTATTTGAGTAGCTTTCTTTGCTCAATTTATTTTCCTTTCAGCAAGGACTGAAAGAACTTTTGGAACCGAGAGATAATTGATTTCGGTTGGATGAAATGGAAATATGCTTGAAGAAGAATCAAATTTTATGGGTTGTTTTTCATTATACATAATTACATATCAATTATTTATGTTTTAAAGAAATATAAGTCAGAACGGATGGATAAGAAAGTTAATGTGTATTTTCTATCTCAATATCTATATTTAGACGAGTGACAACTTTTCTAGAATTGAATCTTCTAACTTAAAACTAACATCAACTCTATGTTAACGTTTCATTTTTCAAAAAGAACCGGTGTTATGCTTTAAAAATAGGTGAACTCAGACACTGATCACTAGTTCATATTGAAATTGGAGTTCTAAATCTTTTCTTTTGTAATAATGTAACCTGTTGTGCTCCATTCCTTTATGGTACGACCTTTTACTTTTATTTCTAAAAGTATTACATCCACAGAAATTGCTTTCCAAAACCATCTTTCTAGTTTCATTTCTTCATAACCCTATTGCAATTTTCTTTTCTTTTTCAATACAAGCCCAATGCTAACAGATTATATCTCTATTCGATCTTTTCTACAAGTTCAATTTGGTCAGAAGGTTAGAAAGCAATATGGCAAAGAAAAAACAGCTTCATATCATTTCTTCAGGATCCTTATCTGAGCAAGAAGATTCTGTTCACAACATCAACTGGCAAAGCATAAGCTGGGTCTATGGCTTTCAGCCCAGGATATTCAAGGAGAGAAAGTCCTGCATCGATAAGGGACGGAAAATTTGTAGATGTCGTAAAGAGAGGTAATATAAAGTTAATAATGTAAACCAACATCAAATGATAACAAATCCAGTACACAACTAATGACCCGTCCTGGTATGCTGGAATTGGAATACATAATGCCTTTGGCAAAGACAACAAGAAAAAGGAAGGATTCCTTTTCCAAAACAATGAAATGTTACCTAATTAGTTTGGAGGTACTTCTAAGAAGTAAAAATATACAGAGCAAAAATCACATCCACAATCCAGACTTGTAACCTTTTGGAAATAGTGGCGTGTGAAATTCCGAGGTAAAAGAAAGAAGGGAGAAGGGAAAAGATAAAGTAATGTTACCAGCTACACCGAAGTATGTGTGGTAGACATCAACTGCATCATCTGGTCTGTCTGAGATTCCTCCATTTTCCGTGTCCTGAGATTATAACAATGAACTGTAATCTTTGGAGATAAGAGTGAAATCACCCATAATATCATTATCAAGATGATGTTAAGAATGATCAAGAAGCCCATGCAGTTAGAAATTCTACCTGGCAGTCCAAGATAAACTTAACAAGCTTTTCCTTGTTGATCCAATGCACTCTGTCAATTATGATTAAGCTAGAAAGAACCCACCATGAATAGCAGACCTGGTGAAATGCAAAACATTCGATAAGACTTGAATAATTCTACGGTTTATTTAGATAAGAACACTATCGACAACCCACATCTGGAAGTTTCTCCGGGCGCCCATTAAGGCCTCCAGATTTGACTTGCCGCTCGCATAACCACCACCCGAGAAGGTCCTTGTCGACATGGTGCAGAGACCCCGTAATAGCAAGAGCACCAACACAACAGAAAACTGCACTTACGGCAAAAAAGCATAGGCTGTAGCTATTGACTGATGTTAAATATAGCAAATTATGATGGTGAGAAAGCATGACTAAATTTTACATGGAAAATGGAAGTCTAACACATCACAAATAGTATACGACGTCATAAGTTCAAAAGCAGAAGTTCACATAATGTAATTGCAATAACATATATCTTACTTTGCCCTGCATGAGACTCCCCACCAGGTGTGCTTCCAAATCCACCATCGAGGTTTTTGCAACTGACAATATACTTCACAGCCTTCTCCACATTGATTTTATCCAAGTGACACAATAATGAGAGGCAGCATATAGCGATGTAAGAAAATCTGAAAGAAAACTCAAAAAAGTGAAAAAAAAGGGTCAAGGAATAGTAACTTCAAAAAAGCATGAGGAAAAAGATAAAAGAATGAATAGACTACCGAGTATCGACTTCACCCCACTCATCCCCAGAAAATGATCCGTCTTCATTTTGTAGCCCAGCAACATCTGACATACAAGCTAAGTAACACAAGAAAAACTAAACTAACAATGCCTAACATGATTATTTTAAACCACAAGCTCTTTTGATGTTCACTTATCCCTATTGAAACTAGCAAAAGTAATAGCATCTGAAGAAATCATAACAAATCATTTGAAATCCCCCCAAAAAATAAGATAAAGGATACAATTTGAAACCTTTTCTATGTCTAGAATCGCAAGCTTGTCAAAAAGCGCCAAAACCTGCACAGCACTTAGGGTATACAATATGTGTGGGTCGTGCCCAACATTACCACCAAAACCACCTGTACCGTCAAAAAAGAAAAGGAATATATAACCACTCTGTCTACAGTATTACCCATAATCATTTTCAAATCCTGCAACTGTATCATTCTCACTTGGAAAACAATCGAACTGATCTATTTAAGTTTATTCAAAAATCCAAAATGCCTCTATACAAACCTGACTCGTGCTGGCAGCTGATTATCCATGAAACAACCTCATCGACATCCACGGCATGTAGCTTTTCTAATAAGTCGAGAGTGGTCAGTCCCCAGTATGCCCCATTGATTCTCAAATGCTCCATCACCACCGATTCAAACGAATCTTTCTTCTGGTTTTAAGAAATTTCACAGAATTTCAGATAATCAAAAGTATTCTGTCTGTATAATATGTGCGAGGCTAATATGAAAAGAACGGACCTTTTCAACGGATATGATATATTTGACATGCTTCTCAGCTGCCAGCTCCCCCATCTGCAAGATTTTACTTCAGTTACTTTATTTTGGTAATTTGAGAACTGAGCTTAACAAAAACTATGACAAAAAGGAAAAGCATACATTGACAAAAGAAATTATGCCAGCCGGGTTTCACTTGAATAAATTACTGTAAAATCCAAAAAAAAAAACACTAACAATCAGCAATCAGCCTTTGACATATTCAGTTCATTTCGCTTCTGGGTCACCAGAAAGACTGAAAACATTGGAGTCCCAGGATTGTGACCGCAAAGAAGCTGAATTGAGCTAAAAGTGCGCCAGTTTATCAAGCAAACTGATATATTTAGGAACAAATGAAAAGTATAGTCAATGTATTCTATAACAACTATAACAAAACATAATCCTAGAAAGTAACCAAAGGGGCCAAATAAATTAACACTAATTTCAATTCAATACCCATTGCTAACGTTAGATTCCGAAAGAGTTTAAACTTTAAATTCCAAAAAAAAAAAAAAAAAAGTAGTCTTGATGTGGAAGAGAAAAATAGTACAACAATAGTGGAACATAGTTGAGCCAAATTCTATAACACATACAGCTGGGGCAAAAATGCTATTAACCAAATTGGGAAACTAGAAATTCAAAGAAAGGACAGAGAAAGTGGGATTTATCTCAATTTGAATGAAATATAAACGAACGAACAGAACAGAATCACCCAATTCGTTGACTAAATTCCCATTTTAAGTTTTCCGTTCATTTCACTTTGAACCAAACAAAATGAAGAGAATTTTCTAGGCCCTTATTGTAAACACCAATCTAATATGAATCATTATCTGAACAAGAAAGTTTTGGGGAGTTCAAATGAATTTCAAAGAAATGGGTGTTGATTGAAAGCAACAGAGAGCAGCAGAGAGAGAGAGAGAGAGAGAGAGTTACCTGTTAGGAGGAGGAGGAGGAGAGAGAGAGAGAGAGAGAGAGAGAGAGTTGATTGATGACGATCCCGAAGCCGTTGCTAGGTTATGCCGAATTCCCTTCACCGGAAAACAGAGGAAGAAAAGAGGGAAATGTGAGAGGGTGTTGGGGGGTTCACTGTTGTTTTAGAACGAAAATAAAATCATTGTCGTTTCAAACGAAATGATATGTGCAGTGCAACTCACGTGACCTAACTTTTAAAGGGTAAAATTGGAAATTTCTACCTTAACAAAAAATAAATAAAAATCTCAAATTAGGTGGACGCTGGATGGAATAAAACACATTACGGGTCCGTTCACTTCGCTGATTCGAGTTTATAATTCGAGTTGAGATGTAATTTTGTGTGAGAGCTTTTTACTGTAGCAAAAAAGTTAGATGTGACTGTTTCTGAGAGCTTTTTACTGTAGCAAAATTCGAATTCTAAACTCGAATCGGCGAAATGAACGGGGCCTACATTCACCGATCCACTAATCACGGAACGGAGGTCAAGAGTTGTTGGAGGCTACAGATGTAGGCGGTGCAATTTTTTCTTCTAACCATGTGGACTTTTTCAACATTTTCCTTTAAACTGGTGCATAGATATTTCACATGCTCAAAAAATTTTGTCAATGTTTGTTTTGAGACTACCTTTGTGAGAATATCTTCCAATTGATCTTCTGATCTGATCTTGGGTAATTCCAGTGTTTTGTCTTTTAATTTCTCCTTGATGAAGAACCTGTTCACCTCAACATGTTTTATACGATCAAGTTACACTACATCACAAAAGGCCTTTTGTAGCTGACGAAAAACGCTATTAATCACTATCAATAGCGCTTTTTAGAGCGCTAGGACAGCGGGCGCTATTATAGGTTCTAAGAAAACATAGCGTTTCAAGAGAGTTATAAAAAGCGCTATAGAATTGAAGTATTATAGCGTGTAAGAAAAGTTATTTTCATCCTCTTACAGCTCTTTATCATAGCTACAATACAGATTAATAACTTTTTTTCCTTGTTATGTTCATACTGTTGTAACTTTTTAAAATTATTATTAATATCCTTTTGAATTCATTCAAATAAATAGTAATTCCGAGATATGTGATATATCTAAATAGGAACATTCAAATTAAAACATAAAAACATTCAACATATCAATTGTTATCAGTATCTACCAAGCTGTCAATAAAATTACGTCTACAACATAATTCATACAGTGTCCAAAACTTTAACATTCAAAACAAGTAAAGAAAACAGAGAAGTCATCTCCAAAACGTCTAAGTGCAATGGTGAAGTAAATCTTTCCATCTTGACAAAATGCTTCAACAAAAAAGTCATCTCCACTGTTAAACCTGTATAATTAGGAAAGTAAAATAGGTTTAGAAACATAGCCATAAAATATTCTCATATGAGAAAGGTGACAGAAGAAGAGATTTCAAGACTCCATTAATGATTTCAAAGACGCATTTTCTGCCTAAAATCAATGTGGGATTGCATTAATTTATCTATCATCTATAATTGAATAACTCCAAAATCTTTAGTTATATTATATCGTTTCAACCCGTCAATTTCTCAAATAATACCCCACTGAAATGATTTCCCAAGTCAAATTCCATGAGCATTAAACAAGAAGATAGTTCACTCACTTTGTCTCGGATGTAAGTCACTAAAAGCTTTTGCCTTTGTTCATCAAGACCCTTTGACTCTATAAGATTAATCTGAGGTGACTCGTTGGGATACTATCACCCAAAAAAAAAAGAACAAGAAAGAAATTAAAGACAAATCAGAAAATAAAATTGACATAGCTAGAGATATCAAAGTATCCAAAACGTCTAGCCAAGTAAAATGGTTAAGTAAATAATGCATCTTGACAAAATGCTCCAACAAAAAGGTCATCTCCTCAGCAAAGCAACTATTGACCTGTCACAAAATTAGTCCAGCAAAACAAATTTCATCTTGATTGCCAAGTAACAACACAATTAAAATTCTAATGTCCAAAGTATGTCACATTTTCAGTAATGGACATACAATCATGAGAGTCAGAGATAAAAGAATACTAACCTTTGAGAAGCTACGTCAAAATCGTTGAGAAACTACACTAAAGATTATAGATACTTCACAGCTACACCTAAATACTTTTAAGTATATGAGCATGTAGTCTACATATAATGGTATGCTTAAAACAAATTAGTACTAAGTAGAGGGTTTTCATACCCCTTCAAAGTTTTGCATAGCTTCTAGTATTCCTTACTGGTGAGTCAAGAACTAATTGCCGGTCTTTATCTTCAATTGCAAATCCCTTTTTACATAACTTCCTTTTCCTAGTAGTAGACATTCTTAGCACTCCCTGGATTAAAACAAATAAGCATAAGCAGAGTACTACATAAAGGACTTGTATTACAACTAAAAAAACAATGGTCATTGAAATTATGCAAAATCAGCATGTTCAATTGCAAGTATTCCAGCATCTGCAAAGAGCTCCTCTGGAAAATTGTAAATCAACTGTCAGTTAACAAAGCAGCTTATGTCATGACCTATTATCTTCTGAACCTTTTCTCTCATATAAGTATATTAGCAAGAATGGACCACCATCAATTAATATAGAACTCTAATCCAATCAAGAAATTTAAAGATAGAGCACTTTCTATCAAATGTCGCCTAGCTTCTAAAGTACTTAAAGATATCTACATATACATACGTACATATATATATATATATTTATATATGTAAAGCCTATTTTATAAAAATAAAAGAATTAAATTATAAAAAAGAAAAGGTATATGCGTCTTGTAATAAACATGAGACTAACTGCAAGTTCAATTGCAACATGAAAATAGAACATAAGAAATAAATTCTACATAACCCACCCTTCATTTAAAAATGAATCTTTTAGGGTTCGCCAAGGCTTCTTTATGATCAGAATAGCCTCTAAGTTAGTGCTTCCCTATCATTGCCAAGATTTTTGTCAAACAATATGAGCAGAAAATTGGAGCTCAAGTAGTTTTACAACAAAGTAAAACAATTACATGCAACATTGTACCAACTGCACAGTAAATCACAATTTTACAAACAAGGACCACCATTTAGCTTCATTTCGAAATAATTTTTGAAATTCTTGCGAGATGTGAATTAATGAATTTACCTTAAGTCGTAGTACAACATCCACAGCAATTTTAGCCTCCAGGATTGAACATGAATGGTTCTCGCAACCTTATACAAGTATAATGACAAATAACAGGAATTCCCAAAACCAGTTATAAGCACCACAATAATACTATGGTTGAAGAGGTACCAAACGGTGGAATAAACTTACAGAACCAATAGAGTGAAAAAGCCCCCAAAGAAACATAACATAACTTGGTGTCTTTGAGCATATCACAGATGTGGTTTTCTTCTACAACTAAAGAATTTCAAAGAGAAACAAAAATCAGTCGTTTCCCATTACAGGAACAAGAATCAAGATTACCAAAAGCTGCATATTTTCAGAAACCTGTAAGAAATGGCAAATGGTAATGGCATGCGGTGTCAAAATTGTCACATCAATGTAGATTGTAATGCAGTAGTTGTTGTAAGCTACAAACATTAACATTGACCGTAACAATTATCTCTAATTTGAAACCCAAAAAAACACTTTTCTGACTAAATCAATTAACTGTGAATCACATTAGAGTTTGTTCAAAACTTAAACAAACAAACAAACAAACAAGAAATTTGAATAAAATTCTAAGAGAAAGGATGAATTACCTTTTACACAAGTGAATCTGGCAAATGAAGTAACAAATGGCGTTCAACTTCAGAAACTATTCCGAAGGTGGTCGAAACTATTCCGGCGACCAATGGCAGCAAAATTGGTATGGATTTGTTCAGCTCAACGAGAGGAGTCCAAAGAAAGCACTTTCCGAAGGATTAGACGTCAGAAGGCGCCGGAAACTGTGTTGGAAGGTGCGGTGGCCAGGAATTTCAAACTGAAATTACAGCCGATCGGCGGGGAATCGGGCGGCGTGGTGATGGGGGTTTTGTAGATCGGCTCATGGGCTTCTTGGATCTGATCTCGGATCACT